GCAATATGCATGATCTCACTGAAATGTTGCCTTACATCAATTATATTGTAAACAATCTCATTCACGAAAGCATCTTAAACTACTTCGAGTGTATTAGATTTCTAGGACTAAGAATTTGAATTTAGGGTTTGAGTTAGGATCTAGAACCAGGGTGCGTGTAGGCTAATTCAATAACTTCAGTCAGTCAGTCAGCTACAACGTAGGACCAGGCACATATGTGCATCGGTCCAGGTTGCCATACCGCATCAGCACAACAAGATGCACACTGGATTCATAGAAGTGGTTAGGTCAAGGGTGGTAATATATACGAGAAAGTTTGCATATAGAGATATAGTACAAGAAGAAAGAATTGGTTCGTAGAAAGAAAGATATGAAGTGACTTTAATCTCTTAGTTTAAGGGAAGACAGGGAGTGTATACACCGACGCCATTGTGATCGATTCTGAGCCATGTCACCAACACTCCAACCATTGGTTACGAAAGTCACGCGGACCCCAACCAAGTAGTCTGCATCTACCAACATGGCTCAGACTAGAAGTTAGCCAATCCTAAAACCTAATCTTAACTCTAGCCCTAAACTCTACATTCAGACCATAAATCTTAATTCTAGAGCGTAAATACTCGACCTAACATTGTAAACTACTGTTTCATATTTCTGTTTTTAAAAAAAGATTCAACTAATTTACAATACGATTAAATCATTAATCTATGCTAACGATGATTAAAATCTATCGTTGTTACTGATTTCATACTGAAAAATTAGAAACAAACTACTAATTGTTAAATGGGTATTGTTGACATACACAAACTGACCAATGTTATACAACCATTAAGAACCTGGAAGTAATGTACAGATATTTAGTTCTATCATAAGACTCCTCAGCAATCAGTATTAACAACTCCGTAGCCGGAAGTCGAATCCACCATATTCAGTTTCGAGGTGCTACCACTTGACCTCTAAAACACCCAAGTGAAATTCGTTGGTTAGCAAGTTAAATTTCAACCAATCTACAATACTCTACCTAACCATCTTCTATTATCTTCGATGGGTGACCTTCATCACATCCGATACGGCTGAATATCACTCATTGGTCATAGTTATTTACGTTGAATGAATTGTCAGCGAAACCAACACTAATAGAATGAGGAATTCTTATCATGAAAATAAAAAATAGAGAAAAAAAGTCTATTTCCCAGAAGAGAAAACCATTTTAGTGTAACTGTATCATTTATCTATTTGTTTATATTGTTCCTATGGGTTAACTTTTAATCCAGTTTGTTTTTAAAGAAATAACAAAACAACATCACTGTTGCCATCACATGATATAATCTTTTAGTTTTCTGTCTTATTTCTCTGTTTACATGAATGTGTATTGAATGAATAAAAGTAGAAACATATATGTCTTGTATAGTGTGTGATTAGAGTAGATGAATATAAGTAGTAAATTAATAATTATTAATATAATAATTTCATGCATTTAGTTTGAATAGAAAGTCAATTAGTCAGTTGATCGACTAGATCATGAAGATGACAACATCTGAAGGGAAGTATGGGATACAGTGGACATTTAAGATGAAGCTGGACGATCTAGACATCGCAGATGATCTAGTTCTTTTATCGCACACGTAACAACAAATTCAGGAGAAGACGAACAGTGTAGCAGTAGCCACAGCAGCAATAGGTCTCAACATACACAAAGGGGAAAGCAAGATCCTAAGATACAACACAGCATGCACCAATCCAGTCACAATTGACGGAGAAGATTTGGAAGATGTAAAAACATTTACATATTTGGGCAGCATCATTGATGAACACGGTGGACCTGATGCAGATGTGAAGGCGCGGATCGGCAAAACAAGAGCAGCTTATCTCCAAATGAAAAACATCTGGAACTCAAAACAAATGTCTGTCAACCAACACCAAGGTCAGAATTTTCAATACAAATGTCAACAAAGTTCTACTGTATGGGGCGGAAACTCGGAGAACTACGAAAGCCATCATTTAGAAGATACAAGTGTTTATTAACAGTTGTCTACGCAAAATACTTCAGATCCATTGGCCGGACACTATTAGCAACAACGTACTGTGGGAGAGAACAAACCAGATTCCGGCGGAGGAATAAATCAGGAAGAAGCGCTGGAAGTGGATAGGACACACATTGAGGAAAGTACCCAACTGCGTCACAAGACAAGGCCTCACTTGGAATCCTGGAGATCAAAGGAAAAGAGGAAGACCAAAGAACACATTACGCCGAGAAATGGAGACAGATATGAGAGGAATGAACAAAATTGGATAGAACTAGAAAGGAAGGCCGAGGACAGAGTGGGTTGGAGAATGCTGGTCGGCGGCCTATGCTCCATTGGGAGTAACAGGCGTAAGTAAGCAATCAACACAGAGACTGGTATGAATGTGAATCTGTACAATTTATCACATTGTATCACTACATTAACATCATATTAAGTATTGGAATATCAGTGGAGTCATTATCATGGTAGTGTAATGAACGAAGACTTGAGTACGATAAACCAAACTATTCTATATAGTAAAGTCACCCATTGCACTTGTAAAATATGAAAACACGACATGTACATTTTCTTTAAGTTATCCCTTACAAACTTGATCATTCTTCAATTCCTGTTGTTATGTCGATTGTCATCTGTTTTTTTTCTTTCTTTTCTCTTCACTTCATTTCATGTGATACACAAATTGACCCTATCAATCAGTCGTAACATTAAATCATTAATTCTTACAAAAGCTTTAACCGAGAGTAATGTATAGACTCTTAAGAAATTATTTGAGCCCTTATAAGTAATTGACTACAATTTCTTACATTATCATCCCAACACATTTTAAAATGTTTTAACAATATGTTATTTTAAAGAGATCAAGAACAATGATCGATGCAGAATAATAAATGGATCCATTTTTATTTCGTTAGGTTCTCATCAGCTACTTACAACTTAAAGTATTTGAAATTCAACCTTATTATAGATATTGACATACTTATACAACAGACGGTGATGAAGGATGAATATATGTGTATCATGATGTAGCGAAGATTCCGATAGAGTTAATGAGGTCATAAATGTTTTCTTTCAAATATGTAGAGTTTGGGAGGGAAAGTTCCAGCACATTGAAATAGCGATTAGAAATCATGGAATTAAAGCACACATTAGACGATTATGTAATGAAGTAACTGAAAATAGATTAATGGTAATAAAGAGAGATATGAATTGAAATTGGTCAGTTATGAATGATGTAATTTTAAAAATTCAGAAAGAATTGGAATGACGTAATTAACCAAGGGGGGGGGTTAATGTTACCAGGGCAAAGAAGATCTGGTTTTAAACGTTTAATTGCTATTGCTTCGGCGAATTTCAAAAGGTTTGAATTTGATTGTTTGTTGATCACCTTGAAGGATTTCAGCATATCGACTTCGTGTCCTGTGTCAAGGAGATGTCTTGCGGTAGCGCTGCTGAATGATTTTTGTCCGTTTCATCTCAAACCCTTCGGAATATGTTCTTTGAATCGAACGTAGGCTGTCCTTTCTGTTCTACCAATGTAACTGCTTTGGCAGATACATGTAAATTTGTATACACAGTTGGTGGTAACATGAAAGGGATACCTGTCGACCTTTGATTGTGTCAAAGAACATGTTGTTTTGGATAGGACAATCAATTTAGCTGCAGGATAAGTTCTTGTCAGTGCAGTTTTTAGTCTCATATTGATTGACCCTGTGACATTATCACTTTTCTTATAAAAACACATGGAATGGGATTTATCTCAATTTCAACAGCTTTTGTCCAATCAATTATAAAAAGGCACTTGTCAAAAGATTGTTTCACAGAACAGAAAGAATATGTACTACTGATACAATAGAAGAGGAAGTTAGGAATGTTAAAAAGTGTTTAAGGAATAACAGATACCCATTGAGATTTATTGAGAAGTATGGAAAACGTGAAGATAAAATACTTAAAGAGACTTAAAGAAACCTGTTTTTATTCAACTCTAATTCAAACCTGGAAGTAATGGACAGACGTTTCATCACAGTATGAGACTCCTTACCAGTGCATATACACAACCTCAAGAACTGGAATCGACCCTGGGACCTATGATTTACCGTGCCAACGCTTAACCTCTAGACTACTGACCCGCCATTATTAATATCTAACCTCAATCATACCAAAATATTAAGCAACAATCTTTCATTGTCTTTATTGGGTAATTGCCTTACATCCGACGCAGCTGAACTCTATTGGTCAGGACTTCTCATGGGAACTCTTGGAATTTTCTCTAGAAACTAGTCACTAGTGAGCACATGACAACTGTGAGTGTGAGATTGTGGAGATCAGCATGAAATCAGTAGAAATTGTAATAGTATTAGTGAAAATAGTGTTAAGCATTCGGAATAAGAGTAAGAAGGAATTCTCATGCTGCACGATTGTTTTAATCAATAGTCACAAAATTCCCATGGACTCTAACCAGGTAGTTTGTATCCACTGAAAATGGCTAAGACCAACAGTCAAGAATTTCATAAACTCGTATTAAATTTTAGGTTGTTTGCTTCTAGCTTTATTTTAACTTACTTTTTAAGTCATTCAACTTTACGCATCGAGATAAACGATGATTAGTTATATACGATACATATTTTGATCACCTCAGTCGATGAAAATTCACAATCTCATTAACTTCAACATTTCTCATTTGTTAGTCCAGTTGTATACTTCAGATATACTTATGATCAACTATTAGTAACCTGAAAATATCACTTGTTCTCAATGAAGCAGAACAAATTAGGGGTCATGTTAATATACCTATCCATTTGGTTGGTAGATGAACAAATTGCCTACAATACATATATGACACAAATTGTCAAAAATCAATAAACACAAAACACAAAATGATAATCAATGAATCTATCTCATAGTTCATTCATTCACTTATTCAATACTATGCATATTTTATAATGGACTAAACTTTATTATATATATATAACTTACGATTATTCAATGGTATATCATTTGAAACATTCAATTGTTTGACATCTTGAACTAGTTGATGATTTCCTTCTTGTATTTGAAATGGAGTTAACTTCACTTTATTATTTCTATCAAAATCAATATTATTATCATCAAATTTTTCGTTCTTCTTAGATAAAAATGATGAAGATATAGAGGAATTTGAGGAAGAGGACGAGAAGGAGGAGGAGAAAGATTCACTTTTCTCTTGTACTAATCGATTTTTCATCCTATTTCTTCTGTATTCTCTAGATCTTCTTGTTTGATTGTTTTGTATTTTTGATTTTACACACTTTCTTGTCTTATTGACTTTGTTATTTCTTTTTGTTAAATTATTGTAATAATCATAATCATGATGATGATGATGATTATGATGGTTCACTGAATCAGTTTGTACTGATGAAGTTACTAAAGATTTGTTATCTTCATGGTTTAATATTACATTTGAATGTAGTGAAGTTGGTGTTGAGATGGATGTATTCAATCCCACTGGATAATTCGTTATATATTTGTCATTGAACTAAAAGAAGTTCATAGAATAAAACTGAATAATCAACATATATTTCAATAGTTGAAATCATAAGTCAATTGAAGCAAGACTACCATGAAAAACCTGGAAGCACTGGACGACCGTTTCGTCCCAGTATGGGACTCCTCAGCAAGTCGGAATAATAACAGTAGTAGCATAGTGTATACATCCTGAATGTGAAGGTTAGTATAAACCGTTCTATTTTTACATAATGGTCAATAACCATTATTTAAAACTTGACTATAAATTATGTCATGATAGTTACTGAGCATTTGAATAAGTGACACAGATCTAGTGATATCTCATTCTGTAATCAACTCAGTGAAAGCTGTTTGTCGAATTTTCTTGGAATTTGATCGAGAAAAATCAATAAAATTGTCAGGTGAAACGCCTCACTTTAATTTACGTAACACAAGGTTAACTATCCTTTCTCAGTGTTCAATAAAAGTTCAATATCTAGCATTTTTAAGCATCTTTCTATTCTAATAGTTGAATTTATGTGTCAATTAAATCTAAATCACCATAGAAAACCTGGAAGCACTGGGCGTGGAGGCGCACTTCTGAAGAGACCCATACTAGGACGAAATGACCGTTCAGTTCTTCCAAGTTTTCCATGATAGTCTACCTTTAATTGACTTATGAATCCAACTATTAAAATTACTATAATATTCACAATATCCCCTTTCTGATAATAATCTTTCTACTCGTTTAGTAAGAGTAGTATAGAAAACCATGATTATCAATGGGGATTTCATTTCAGTTATATAGAACTATCTATAGATATGTCATCTATGGACACGAGGGTTGTAGTGCAATGTCAAAGTTTGATATAAAATCATCAGTGAAAATGATGTATTATTCATTCATTAAATAAGTAGGAAAACGCTCTAAATATGCTTGATACTAATACACATGTTATATAAAATGAAAAATGGATAGGCTATACAGTTCATGTAAAAACCTAATAAGTAATATTAAACATTTTCAAATATTAAGAATTGTTAACTATATAAGTCAATATAAACGAAGTCATATGTCCTAGCAGCAGTAGCAGCAGCAATTTGGAAGACTCTCTCGGTCTTCCACATTTTACGAGTATTCCATGTACCTAAATAAATGGTTGCTCTGGTTGTCAAAAGGGGCATCAGCCTTGTGACTTCCCAAGGAACTCAGCTTTCATCATGAGGCGTCCTAGCAACATGAATATAAATATATAAATATTATCTGTTGTAATACAAATAAAATGAATTCGAAGAGAATAATACAGATAGTTTACTGAATTTTTTGTGTTTTTTTTGTTTCCAGAATCAAATACCCTCAAATATGTATTTATTTACAATGTTTTTACATCATGTGACTGGTAGTCACGAGTTGCCTAGTCTACTACTACTACTACTTGGTAACAATAAAATAAAATAATTGATTATCCTGTAACTAACAGTTAGCAATAAATACAATTATCATTTATGTACAAACGACATGAAAATGAAACTGAAGTAAACATCAACATTTTGATTTGTAAGAGTTTCAGTTATTACATAGTTGGATATTTTTTGACTGAATTTTCTGCTAGTGAAGATTGTCTTAATATAATGAATGGTATTTTATTAAAAGTATTTATAGAAGAGATAGATTATGACTGGGAATAGAATACAGGACGCGTATTTTGTCCCACTACAAAGAACTTGTCAATTGGATATAACTTCATCCTTGTGTTGACGTCCAAATTGAAACTAGAACTCAGTATTTTATATTTCAGATTCTGAACACGTTATCTGTTCAGCTAATGGGTTTAGATAGCTACGTAGTTAAGAAATGCAATAATGGCTTAAATCAATCCTTTAGAAATTAAGTTAAATTCATACTCTTTGTACAGGTGAGTGGTTATTCGGACTCATTAGCTCAATGAAAAACATGTTAGATTCTTGAAGCGAAGAGCATTTGATTTGAGTCCTGATGTAAATATAAACATTAGGGTATAGATAAATTTAATACCGTCATTTTCAATCGTTGGTAAAAAGCCGTAATGGTTTACTTCTATTCTGAGCACGATAAAAAGGTATTTCTGTTACTACTAACACTATATTACTTATTTAGTTTCAAGTTTTAGTATGTTCGAACTATGATTATAATAGTGGAATTTATGAATACACGTTACGTTCTATTTAGAACTCGCCAATTGAGAATACTAACATTTTAGTGTTGATTTTCACCTTGGGACTCGAACACTAATAATTCTAGCTTTAAACACTCAACGCTACTGAGTTCAAACAGATTTTATAATACGACATTGAAAGAAAACTCAACTAATTCATCATTTAATGTCAGTATGTTATTTTTTTATAACCTGAAAAATAACTGAATAAAGCGTAATTTAATGTAAAAATTGATTTAATAATTGAATTCATGAGTCAACTGAAGATATACGACCATGAAAAACCTGGAAGCACTAGATGGTTGTTTCATCCTAGTATGAGACTCCTCAGCAGTGCGCATCCACGATCCCAGCTAGCGAGATTTGAACTCAGGACCTATCAGTTTCGCGCGTGAACGCTTAACTTCTAGACCATGGAGCCGGCATTCAACAATGTTAATACTTAACTTTAACCAATCCACGAAATTGCGACACCGTCCACCATTGTCTTAATTGAATTATTATCCTATAACAGCCCAGACTGAACTCCACTGGTCGCAGCTTCTCACAAGAACTCTAGGAAATAACTCTTGAAGACAGTCACTAGTGAGCATATGATGATTATAATCAGAGAGGGGTATCGTGGAGGTTGTAGTTCGAATCTCGCGAGACGGGATCGTGGATGCACACTGCTGAAGAGTCTCATACTAGGATGAAACGGCCGTCCAGTGTTTCCAGGTTTTCCATGGTGGACTAGGTTCGATTGACTCATGAATTCAATTATTAAATTACTACAATCTCCACAAAACCCCTCTCTGATTGTAGAAATTAATTACATTATTGATTAAGATCATGAACCGGTCAATGTAAGGCCAGCAATGAAAACCTGAAAGCACTGGACGACCGGTTCGTCTTATTGTGTGACTCCTCAACAGTGCGCATCCACTATCCTTCTCGCGGGATTCCAACCCAGGGCCTTCAGTCTCGCACGCGAACGCTTGACCTCTAGACCACTGAGTTGGCATCCAATGGTGTTAATGTCTAACCTCAACCAATCCACGAAATTGCGCGACCATCTTCCATTGTACTGAGGTAGATACCTGTCTCTACTCGACACGGATCAGCTCCATTGGTCACAGCTTCTCACTAGAGCTCCGAGAATTCACTCCCAAAACTATTCACTAGTAAGCACATGGTATTTTACAGTATAGGGTTGTGAAAATCATTACGTCCAATGCTTCCAGGTTTTCAATGGTAGTCTAACATCAATGAGTTCATGATCTCAATCAAAGACGTATTAATCTCTACGACCCTATACTGATTATCCTTACATTAATTTGATCATTTGTCAATATATAGATCCATATAAATATATGAGTTTCGCGCGTGAACGCTTAACTTCTAGACCATGGAGCCGGCATTCAACAATGTTAATACTTAACTTTAACCAATCCACGAAATTGCGACACCGTCCACCATTGTCTTAATTGAATTATTATCCTATAACAGCCCAGACTGAACTCCACTGGTCGCAGCTTCTCACAAGAACTCTAGGAAATAACTCTTGAAGACAGTCACTAGTGAGCATATGATGATTATAATCAGAGAGGGGTATCGTGGAGGTTGTAGTTCGAATCTCGCGAGACGGGATCGTGGATGCACACTGCTGAAGAGTCTCATACTAGGATGAAACGGCCGTCCAGTGTTTCCAGGTTTTCCATGGTGGACTAGGTTCGATTGACTCATGAATTCAATTATTAAATTACTACAATCTCCGCAAAACCCCTCTCTGATTGTAGAAATTAATGTTAATCCTTACATTATTGATTGAGATCATGAACCGGTCGATGTAAGACCAGCAATGAAAACCTGAAAGCACTGGAAAACCGTTTCGTCTTATCGTGTGACTCCTTAACAGTGTGCATCCACGATCTCGCTCTTGGGATTCCAACCCAGGGCCTTCAGTCTCGCACGCGAACGCTTGACCTCTAGACCACTGAGTTGGCATCCAATGGTGTTAATGTCTAACCTCAACCAATCCACGAAATTGCGCGACCATCTTCCATTGTACTGAGGTAGATACCTGTCTCTACTCGACACGGATCAGCTCCATTGGTCACAGCTTCTCACTAGAACTCCGAGAATTCCCTCACGAAGCTATTCATGGTAGTCTAACATCAATGAGTTCATGATCTCAATCAAAGACGTATTAATCTCTACGACCCTATACTGATTATCCTTACATTAATTTGATCATTTGTCAATATATAGATCCATATAAATATATGAGATAAATGGATACATTATAACTAAAACGCTCAGGATGTTTTTACTGTCTAATCTCAAAAGAGAATAAAATAGTTAGTTTCAATAAGGGATCAGTTACTAGTAATTCTGTGTTGCGAAAACTAACTAACTACAGGTACGTTGAAATTCCACCAATTAATTAATTTATTAGGTGTTTATATATCATGTTTTCCTTTTTTTGTACCATCAGTCAGTCAGTCAGTCAGCAACAACGTAGAACTTCGTACGTACGTACGTACATCAGTATTTAAGTAAACACAAACAAACAAACAAACTTAATAGACATTATATTTGTATATACTTGATTAATTTCATTTCATTATTTTTCATTCAATGAGAAGATTATTGACAAAATCAAACTTAACTAATCAGTAGTATATTTCATGATGTTACATATAATGAATTAGTAATAGTCAATATAACTCAGTAATGTATTGATATATGTTAATTAAAAAAAAGAGGTTTAATTTATTGATCTTGTAAATTGTATACATACATTAAGTTACCAGGTTATTAATTTATGCCAAGTACTGATTGTCTAGTTTAAAGCATACAAACTTGGAACTATTTGGTCAGATAAGTAAATTACATAGGACATAATATAGATTTAAATCAATAGCTTTTGATCTCTATTGAGTGAATAGTAGATTATCATCTACAATCTAGTTAGTGAGACAATAATGTCTGAACAAAATTTTAAGCGACTCCAAAGTGATCTTGAGAAAATTCACTTAAATACTATAATCTAAAGAGGATTACAAGTTAATGTGAGAAATCAGTATAGAGATTTGGAGCTAGAAGTTGAGGTGACGTATTAAACTTAGAGTATTCATCATCACGAAATGATGTCGACTATAATTTCAAAATGTTATTTAACCGTATAGAAGAATGAATTTCGCACCGAAATTCAAGACTCGCTATGTTAAATCTGATTGGTTCGTTCAGAAATTATAGTCTCGTCTGTTATATCCCGAGAAGAATAATGAATGGTCACTTTTGGGATCCTGTTATGGACCAATACTATACGTATATTTTTATCGTATAATTGTTAAATAACTAAACTGTTCATATTCATGTCCCTCTTAACATAAGCTTTATTTTGATGCATGGACTATTATTATACCATTTACCATTCTTGAATTATGCCCTGTCTATCAATTACTACCTCCCATATTCACAACTACACACCACTAATTCGGTTTAAGCCCCCCCCCAGACATTCGCATTTCGTCCTCTCAATTTTGTTAACAATACTCTCTTCATGAGAAAGCCTTAATTAAGACTTCCCTTGTATTGGGTATATACTCTTGATTGTATGAGAGCATTCCAGAAGAAGAGTGCCGGACTCTCCGGCTTCGGAAATGAAATCATTGAAAAATCATCCTTGAAAATATTTAAAAATATTTAACTATTATTTAGTACTTTGATTGAAATCATGAATCAATTGAAGCTAGACTACCATGGAAAACCTGGAAGCACTGGACGGCCGTTTCGTCCTGGTATGGGACTACTCAGCAGTGCGCATCCACGATCCCGCACCCCGCGAGATCCGAACCCAGGACCAATCAATTTCGTGCCAGGCGCTTAACCAACTAGACCACTGAGCCGGCATCCAATGGTGTTAATGTCTAACCTTAACCAATCCACGAAATTGCGCGACCATCTTCCATCGTACTGAGGTAGACACCTGTTTCTACCCGACATGGATTAGCTCCACTGGTCACGGCTTCTCACCAGAACTCCGAGAATTTTCTCACGAAGCTAGTCACTAGTGAGTACATGGTACTGTAGTCCTGTACAACGTAAAATATTAGGGTAATTGATTACCCTGCCTGAATGTATTTAAATATCCTTAGAAAACCCCTTCTGTAACGTATAAGGAAAAAAATCTGTAAATGAGGTTAGTGCTGATTTTCACTGTTATATTTTTGACTGTAAAATTCATCTCATCTGATGATGATCCTTAAGACACTGAAAAAATACACTGGTGAATAAATACATGTTTTAAGTGATTAGAGATAGTTAACAGGAAAATATAATTGACATAGATTTCGTTTTAGTTGAGACTGTTCAACAAAGCGTACCTGTAATTTTCAGAGAACTGATCTACAATTTAGGATTCAAACTCGTGACAGCCAAATTCACCCTAATAGCTCATAATGTTAACGTTTCACACTATGTGAACCTGGGTGATACGAGTCTGAACCTCATAGGGGATATCAATTCACCCAAGATTACAAGTATACCATAATGATGAATACCAAATATCACAAAACCTAAGTCAAGAAAGTTTTCCTGTCTGCTATCACCGATCACTAACTTACATATCACAACATAGTATAGACAATATCGAGATATTTAGACTGGTGATCGCATTATAACCTGATCAATAGAATTCGATCATCAGTACTAAATAATTCGACAAATATACCATTGGTCAATAAGTAGTAACCAATTCATTCTACTTACCTCATTCACCATAGTTTGTGTAGATTTTTCAACTGAACAAGTAATTGATTGAATTGTCATATCGACTGGTTCAGTCATTATTGAAATATTTTTCTTTATTGTTTGATGATGAGTTAATGTATCCATACATTGAATATTTACAATGGAATTATCATTAGCATTAATAAATTCCCATACTGGTAATACATTTGAACAGTTTTTCTGTTTGAAGTTTGTAACTATCTGATTTCTTTTGATATGTTTCTATGATAAATGATGAAAGAAAACTGGTTGAACTGATTTCAAGTGAAACAAACAAACAATGATGATAATACAATTTGAAGACAACATTGATTATTTTAACACCAACAACAACCTACCGTGTGAAAGAACAAACCAGATCCTAACAGAGGAAGAAATCAAGAAGAAGTACTGGAAGTGGATAGGACACACATTGAGGAAAGCACTCAACTACCTCACAAGGTAAGTCCTCACATGAAATCCTTAAGGCGAAAGGAGAAGAGGAAGACCAAAGAACAGACTACTCCGAGAAATGGAGACAGACAAAAGAAGAAAGAAGAAGAACTGGACAGAATTAGAAAGGAAGGCCCCACGACAGAATGGGTTGGAGAATACTGGTCGGCGGCCTATGCTCCATTGGGAGTAACAGGCGTAAGTAAGTAATTTTAAGACCAAGTAAGTAGTATATCAAATACTTGACAAAAAATACAACCAGTTTTCAGATAATTAAAATAACCCATAGTGTCATTGAATAAGAAAAAGAGAATTCAGCGAAGAAAATTTTCTTCTCGATGAAAATAAAATATTGATTCGAACCCCTTTCGATTCAGTTCCTTTGACTCTGTAAGCTATCTTAAACGAAGAGTTTTTTGGAGCGATATGTCCACAGTTGATTAAGTGCTCCTGTATCAAACTAGTGATTGTTTTTCGTTCCCCTTTCAAGAGCCAGGCCGGATAATGTTCCGAGATACGTTTGGATAATGATCGCTTTGTGCGGCCTATGTAACATGCCCCACATGAGCAAGTAAATTTATAGATACACATTGAAGTGGCCCAAAGAGAAAGTTTGTCCTTAACTGATAAGTCTTGTCGGATTGAACGCTATATTCGTCTCCTAAGCTATTCTGTAACCCCCAAGCTAGAAACTAAACAGCGACCTGAACATGAGACAGAAGACTCAAAGTATGCGAGTAGTTTACTCCAAGGTTCATTTTAATACAGAAAATACAGGGTCTTTATAATATTTTAAATGTCCTTGGGTTGCTAGAACATTCGGGAAATGCTACTAAACATAGTAGCAGTGTAGCAGCCAACCAATCAGAGCCTCTGCATGAGACGATTCGCTTCCTTGATATATTTTTGGCCAAGACTACAAGTGAACGCTGATTGGATGAAACGCTTCTTAGTGTTTCTTGATGCTCGCTTGTCTTTTGCAAGCAATTTTCTGGATCATCCCAACATTAACACACCCCAGTTGGGTTCCATTAAGTAGAAAAAGGAACTTAATTCATTCGTTATCCTCAAGGATTAGGCGAATTTGTTCCAATGACACAATAGATGGATACAAGATTATTATTATCATCATTATTATTAAAAGATCATAGGCATAAACATTACATTGACAAATATCAATTCAGCTATTTACCTTGTTCGTTGATTTTACACTAAGTTCACTATGATTGTCTGTATTATGATTGTTTATTGATGTGATATTTTGTTCATTATTTACAGTCTTTGACAAATCATAATTAGTTTTCATATCATTATGATTCAAATGTTGATCACATTGATAATTATGATTAACACAGTGAGAAGATGATTGTTTTGTTAAGGTATTGACATTTTTATTTAATTGTTTCGATGGTTCCATTTGTTCAACTGATAATAATGAATTGAATAAAAAATGAAGTAAACATAAGAAGGATAATAAGCAAAGATGGATAGTGGCTAGCAGTGGAATCCAGGACATGGGTTTGGTCCTGTTTGTGACTTGTCAGCTGGATGTACCTGCGAACGGTACTGAGTTCGAGTTACAGGGTGAACATCAATTCTGAGATGCAGGTACATCCAGCTGACGAGTCCCAAACAGGACAAAACGCGCGTCCTGGATTCCACTGCTAGTCACTATCCATCTTTGCTTAGAATGCTTGTAAATTAAGGCAATATCGAGGCGTACGCACAGTATGCACATATGTCAATAAGAGACTGATCAATTTCAGTCCTAAAACATCAATGGGAAGATTCAAGTAAAACAATACCAAGTGAATAAGAAGGATAGTTTGAAGATAGTTAGGATAGACTTATTTTGTAATTCGTTCAATAATTCTCATAATTGACCTATTTACTGTCAGTGACGGGGAAAATAGTTGTTTGAAAACGCATGAACTTGGATTTTCCCGTTTTTGTTTTGAATTCCCCCCACAACATGAAACATTGATTACGGCTCACAAATATACTGTTACATAAGTCTCTTGTTTCCAATTACCTGTTGCTATGACAACAGAATTCTAATGTATTTATCATCTACGTTTACAGACCATAGTGATATTCTCATTATATGCCTCATTTGGATATATATCTCGAATTATAACAGTTGCAGTCGGAATTATTAACTATTATATAATTGTGGATTACTAAACTGAATGAAAGTCGAACAAGCCAATTCCTGACAGTTTAAGCCATGTCCAATATATTTTTCTTGTGTGTATAGATTACATTTAATATATTGTATACATTAATTTTTGGACACAATAACTTTATTTTCGGAATTGCTATATCCTGGGTCCACCACAATAAATTCACTTGGTATTGTTTTACTTCAATCTTCCCATTGATGTTTAGAACTGCGATTAATCAGTCTCTAATTGGCATATGTGAATACTGTGCGTATTGTCTCAATATTGCCTTAATTCGCAAGCATTATAAGCAAACATGGATAGTGGCTAGCAGTGGAATCCAGGACATGGGTTTGGTCCTGTTTGTGACTTGTCAGCTGGATGTACCTGCGAACGGTACTGAGTTCGAGTTACAGGGTGAACATCAATTCTGAGATGCAGGTACATCCAGCTGACGAGTCCCAAACAGGACAAAACGCGCGTCCTGGATTCCACTGCTAGTCACTATCCATCTTTGCTTAGAATGCTTGTAAATTAAGGCAATATCGAGGCGTACGCACAGTATGCACATATGTCAATAAGAGACTGATCAATTTCAGTCCTAAAACATCAATGGGAAGATTCAAGTAAAACAATACCAAGTGAATAAGAAGGATAGTTTGAAGATAGTTAGGATAGACTTATTTTGTAATTCGTTCAATAATTCTCATAATTGACCTATTTACTGTCAGTGACGGGGAAAATAGTTGTTTGAAAACGCATGAACTTGGATTTTCCCGTTTTTGTTTTGAATTCCCCCCACAACATGAAACATTGATTACGGCTCACAAATATACTGTTACATAAGTCTCTTGTTTCCAATTACCTGTTGCTATGACAACAGAATTCTAATGTATTTATCATCTACGTTTACAGACCATAGTGATATTCTCATTATATGCCTCATTTGGATATATATCTCGAATTATAACAGTTGCAGTCGGAATTATTAACTATTATATAATTGTGGATTACTAAACTGAATGAAAGTCGAACAAGCCAATTCCTGACAGTTTAAGCCATGTCCAATATATTTTTCTTGTGTGTATAGATTACATTTAATATATTGTATACATTAATTTTTGGACACAATAACTTTATTTTCGGAATTGCTATATCCTGGGTCCACCACAATAAATTCACTTGGTATTGTTTTACTTCAATCTTCCCATTGATGTTTAGAACTGCGATTAATCAGTCTCTAATTGGCATATGTGAATACTGTGCGTATTGTCTCAATATTGCCTTAATTCGCAAGCATTATAAGCAAAGATGGATAGTGGCTAGCAGTGGAATCCAGGACATGGGTTTGGTCCTGTTTGTGACTTGTCAGCTGGATGTACCTGCGAACGGTACTGAGTTCGAGTTACAGGGTGAACATCAATTCTGAGATGCAGGTACATCCAGCTGACGAGTCCCAAACAGGACAAAACGCGCGTCCTGGATTCCACTGCTAGTCACTATCCATCTTTGCTTAGAATGCTTGTAAATTAAGGCAATATCGAGGCGTACGCACAGTATGCACATATGTCAATAAGAGACTGATCAATTTCAGTCCTAAAACATCAATGGGAAGATTCAAGTAAAACAATACCAAGTGAATAAGAAGGATAGTTTGAAGATAGTTAGGATAGACTTATTTTGTAATTCGTTCAATAATTCTCATAATTGACCTATTTACTGTCAGTGACGGGGAAAATAGTTGTTTGAAAACGCATGAACTTGGATTTTCCCGTTTTTGTTTTGAATTCCCCCCACAACATGAAACATTGATTACGGCTCACAAATATACTGTTACATAAGTCTCTTGTTTCCAATTACCTGTTGCTATGACAACAGAATTCTAATGTATTTATCATCTACGTTTACAGACCATAGTGATATTCTCATTATATGCCTCATTTGGATATATATCTCGAATTATAACAGTTGCAGTCGGAATTATTAACTATTATATAATTGTGGATTACTAAACTGAATGAAAGTCGAACAAGCCAATTCCTGACAGTTTAAGCCATGTCCAATATATTTTTCTTGTGTGTATAGATTACATTTAATATATTGTATACATTAATTTTTGGACACAATAACTTTATTTTCGGAATTGCTATATCCTGGGTCCACCACAATAAATTCACTTGGTATTGTTTTACTTCAATCTTCCCATTGATGTTTAGAACTGCGATTAATCAGTCTCTAATTGGCATATGTGAATACTGTGCGTATTGTCTCAATATTGCCTTAATTCGCAAGCATTATAAGCAAACATGGATAGTGGCTAGCAGTGGAATCCAGGACGCGCGTTTCGATTCTAATCTCATAGTTTAAGGGAAGACAGAGAGTGTATACACCTACGCCATTGTGATCCATTCTGAGCCATGTCACCCAGAGTCTCCAGCCATTGGTTACGATAGTCACGCGGACAACGGTAGCAGCATTCCTTTATATACAGCTTTCGATTAAATTAAAGAATACTACCAAATTAATCAAGGTCGAGACTTATGTTTCAAGAGCATTAATAAGCTAACTTTCATTCCATGTCTTGTATGGACAGAATGCTTAATTTAGAACGACTGGTAAGCAATTTTAAAGAGGGAAACATGGCTGAACATCTGCGAAATGTTGATTAACTCCAAAGAGTAACTTTTCTGCCGTATACAAAGGTTTGAGAGGAAACATTATTTTCAGCCATATAGATGAATTTTTCCCTAGATCATTCTTTGATTTCAAAACAGAGAACATGGTCAAATTCACTAGTCACATAAAAAAACTATACATACATTCTGATGTTTCTCATTTTGCACTATAAACCATACCTTCACAACAGGTATTTTCTAAATATGGTAAGTGGCTTGCAGTGGAACCCAGGACGCGCGTTTCATCCTATTTGGGACTTGTCAGCTAGGTATTTTATAATTCGTTATTTTACGAGTCATTCAACTTCTGTAGTAACTTGTTCTTCTCTAATTTAACCATATAATTTAAATCTTAACAGTCAGTTATACTGTATTAAACGAGACTTTGGTTGGGAGGACGATAACAAAATATGGGAACCATACATTAAAAACTTCATTTTGCAAATCTTCCATTAATTATCCTTCACATTCTGTATGATTCTTCCAATTCACAAATTCTTACTCTTTTCTCCTTTTGTTTGCTTCAATTCGAAATTCTTAACGTTCTGTTGTCATGCATTCGATATTCGATCGGTGTTACATACTACTTATGTCGACAGATATTAGTAGCATACATCGCAGTACTACAACACCGATAATAGAATATTACGTAAAAATGGTAAAACTTTTGTAACCACATACAAAGTCATGCAGCACATTAGAACAAACATCTTACCATCATTCATTATAGTTGGATTAATTTCAATGAATGTCTCCATGGATTGATTATTTTCACATTTAGGCATACATTGTTCTTTTTTGAAATTACACCGTAATTGACTCAATTCATTTTCTAAATGTTCCAGTTTTGTTTTATAGAATGTCTAGTTTAAATATAGAATATCAATTGAAAAAACAATGTTGAAAATAGGAAAGAACAAACATGTTAGTCAGTCATATTTAACATATTACCTGGTACAGATGTTTACTTACTTACTTACACCTGTTACTCCCAATGGAACATAGGCGATCAACCAGCATTCTCCAACCCACTCTGTTCTCGGCTTTTATTTCTAGTTCTATCCCATTCTTGTTCATTTTACTCATGTGTATCTCAATTTCCCAGCGTAATGTGTTCTTTGGTCTTCCTCTTCTCCTTTGACCTTGAGGATTCCATGTGAGGGCTTGCTTCGTGACGCAGTTAGGTGATTTCCTCAATGTGTGTCCTATGTACTTCCAGCACTTCTTCCTCCGCTAGGATCTGGTTCGCTCTCTCCCACAGTAGGTTGTTACTGATAGTGTCTGTGTTATGATCGTGTCGTTGCAATTGTTGTGCCGGAAAAGAGCCGCTGATCACTTATGCTCGGAACGAGGGACCTCTGCAATTCCCACGATGCGAAAGTAAGAACAAAAGACTGGTATAAGTGATGATTTATTAGCCTCAAAACAATCGACGAACGATGATCAAAATAGTCTAAAATACACTGGTTTATATATTGATTGTACACCCATTTTGATTATTAATTAGGATGACATCAGATACTTAGTTATAACAAATCACAGACTGAGTGTAGTTCATGCCAATGGAATACAAGAATATCGTATATTATACAGAAGAAAATATTATACTGGGAAAACAAATCAAATACTACACTGAATGATCCTCACGTTGAATCAAAACGGATGTTGAATGTTGAATAAAACTCATAATGAGTAATTTAATCGAAAATTGACTTTTCTTTCCATCATATCAGTCTGACCAACGGATTCGAAGTATTTTGCGTAGGCAACTGTCAATAGACACTTGTATCTTCTGGATGATGGCTTTCGTAGTTCTCCAGGTTTCCGCCTCATACAGTAGAACTGTGTTGACATTTGTATTGAAAATTCTGACCTTGGTGTTGTTTGACATTTTTTTTGAGTTCCAGATGTTTTTCATTTGTAGAGAAGCTGCTATTGCTTTGCCAAGTCGCGCCTTCACGAATCGGTACAGATGTATGTTAACTTAATTTGACATATTACATATTATTAAGAGTAGAGATGAAATGAACAAGATCAATAGAAAAGGAAACGAATTAATGTAGCACTAATAATGTGGTTCGAGATGGTATTTATAAGGCAATAATGAAAAACAGGATGTAGATTTTAGACAAAGAGTGAATGCGTTTAAAGCATTGTGAATGATTTTAAAGTATATCACAAAATCTCTTCAATCGAAGATCACAATGATCACGCGGACCTCACCTAGGTAGTGTAAATGTATCTACTTAACTCATACTAAAAGTTTATGAACTAAAAAACTGATACAGATTTCGGTTTGACCGATCCATGCTCTATTGTAACCTAATTCAATGCCATTTGAAATCGTTCCATAGAAAAAAGCGATTATATTCTAAAATGTGAATCAATAAGTATCGAGTATTTTCTAGTTGAATTGATATAATGAGAAAAGTCCAATGAAACTACTGCTACATACTAATGACTTCAGGTTGAGGGGTTATGGATGTACACTGTGAAAGAGTTCCATTCCTTAAGAGTCCCATACTAGGATGAAACAGATGATCAGTGTCTCCTGGTTTTCAATGGTTGTCTAACTTAAGATCAGTCTATGATTAAGACTGATCTATTTAAACCGAAATCAGGTCCAACCGTAAAAATATTTATGAATTAATAAACAGACATTTTATCATAATGTTATTAAACAGTCGTTTATTAATTTGTGGATTAAAGCTCTTTTAAAATTGGTTCATTTATTCGAAATTTCGGATGGTTAGATGGTAGATCTATATGAAGCAAAAGTTTGGTCACATTTCACCACCCACTCACTGATCACCACTCTTCAGTCTACGGTCACTCTGAGGACCGACCGTGTAGCCCACTCTTGGTGAATCAGAGAGGATGGAGAGTGAGTGAACTCCGTGGCATCAGCCACCACACTGAGTAGTTGCGATGACAGGTAGTGTCGATTTGGGAGGAGAGAATGGAGTGTGGAAAACATAGAACGCTTCACGATTTTGCGTGTCATCGTTGAGCAGGGGCCATGCTAATCTTCTCTGTATCGTTCCAATTTTAGTATATGCACCGCGGAAGCGAGTAGATCTATATCTATATAAAATTACTATGTAGATTGTTTAGTCATTAGGATGAAATAGTTGTCCGATACGATATGGTTTTCAACAGTTCCTCACTAGCTGATGTTGCTGGTAGGTGATGAAGAAGTATCTTTATCAAAAACAAGGATTCGTTTACGAATAACAATGAAAAGTTACTAACTACGAAACACCACTACCCTACACAGAAAATCTCATGTCAATTTTTTCCTTTGGAAATTTCATATACATATACTATCAAGTATACACACAGCCTTTGGGATATAAAACCGATTTGTTTGTATGTTGTACATTCACTTCCTTATTACTGCTCTCGTGATCAGGTACCATGATGATAAGAGTTCGAGTTCGCTAGTTGGTCAGTTCTTTTTATGCCTTTCAGATCGATCGCCTTTTCTTGATCAATAACACATTGATCGTGATACTGACTGAAAATTCCTGATTCTAAATAGTCCACAAGCTCCTTATATTCCTAGGTAGATAGATAGAAAATATATTTCACTTTTTATTATTACTAATACATACAAGGTGAACAACATTGAGTTACCTGTTGTCCAGACACACAATGACTTAGGAGTCATCGTTATTCAAGACTTAAAAACTACTGCACGCTGCCGTGCGATAGCCGCTAAAGGTTTTAGACGCCAATGGTCAATATGTAGGGCCTTTAGCCGTGTCGATGCTAAAACCTTTTGACTTCGTATACAGTATTCGTCCGACCTAGACTAGAGTACTGCATACGAACAGCTAGCCCCTATCTAGAAAGAGACATTGAGATGTTGAAAAAGGCTCAAAGAACCGCGACTAAGCAGATTACTGAAAGAGCGAAGCTCGCTTATGATGCTCGACTGCCTAAACTAAACCTATTTCCATTGTCATATCTAAGAACCAGAGACGACTTGATCATGGTTTTTAAATCACTTAGTGATAAACCTATATCTGATATGTTCTTACTTTTCTTGTTTTCCAAAATAGTGAATTTACGAGGACATTCCAAAAACGTTCGCAAGCCCAAAACAAATTACTTGCTAGCTGACTATCGATTTTCCAATCGAATCATCAACGAACCTGATTGAGGTTCCATCTGTCGACTCATTCAAAAGAAAGTTGGATCAACTTAGAGACCATCATTGCCAAGACTAACACAGGCCACCTAGCCTCCTATCTTTTCCAAATAGAAACTGAAACAATCAGGTTCACAAGAAAACTCATACACATTTATTATCCGGCTTAATCACAATGTCTATATAACTAAATCAAAAGTCATACAAAACTGAATAATAAGTCTGTAATTAAGTAACCAAAATTTAGAGATGGCGAGACATATGACAACAGCTATTCATGGATGGAAGATTACACTAAGTACACAGTAAAAATATACATCATAATTCTTCATAAAACAGTTCGGAAAGTTTCACCCCCTTCTCAAATATCCAAGCTTCTATATAAGAATTTTGTATTAAGGCCGGTATTTTCAAGATATCTCATCTAAGAATTTAGATTGATTGCTGGTCATGTGCATATATCGAATAAATCCGTTCATTCTTCTTAGTTAGCGTTAAATATCTGAGTCAACTGAATACAAAATTATACTTTCATACCGGGTATTATTTTATAGTTTAGCATTCTGAATGATACTTTTGGTTATGTACAGTTAAGTCAGGCTAATGGATCATCTTAGTCAAAAGTAAAAGAATCTAATTCTTAAGACTAAACCATCATCGCAGTTAGACACATTTTGCTTTAGATTAGGAAAACTCGAAAAACAAGCAAATCAAACTATATCATTGAAATCATGAACTGATCTAGGTTAGACAAACATTAAGAATCTAGAAGCACTGTAAAACTGTTTTATCGTAGTTTGAGACGTCACTACGAACACCAACGCTTAACCTCTAGACAATTAAGGCAAAATCTGATGGTGAATAAGTCTAACTTCAATTAGTCAGAGATATTTCTCGCCGATCTTTCATTTCTTCGATGGATACTTTCCTCAAACTCTATATGGTATAGTTCCACTGGTCATGTCATCTCATTAGAAGTTAAGCTTAGGTACCATTGTATATCAGCTCAATGGTCTAAAAGCTATGCGTTATTGCGCAAGATCAAAGTGTCCTTGATTCAATTCCCCGCTTCAAAGTAATAGATGTATACTTTTGAGGCATCTCATACTATGACTAAACATCTATCCAATACTTTCAAATTTTGAATGATTGTCTAATTTAGATCAATTCTTGATTTGAATCCATTTCAACAATCTCTACAATTGGATACTGAAATTTAAACGATAACACTACTACTACTACTACTTACAATGAATTGATCTGTATTTGATGATGAACATACTTTCTGTTCTACATTGAATGAACATGCTTCAGAATTTAGAAACTGATTCGATTTCAACCTGTTATCTTGTTGAATATCATTATTCTTTATAGATTGTTCTTTTAATTTAGAATCCATTTGATTTAATGCTTCTTGAGCTTCAGCTAATTTCATAATTAATTGATTTAATTTATAACGATCTTCAAGGCATAAATCTTGTAAACGACATAAATTTGGTTTTGAAATGAATCGTTTTGTTGATTGAACTTTATTTGATTTTTGTTTGAATTGGTTCAAATTCTGAAAAAAAAGGAATGAGTGAACATGTAGATGAAGAAATACTTCTTTATAGATCAGTGGAGTTTGAACGTGCTTGAAGTGAAATATGGCGTCATCAATGAAATGGAATAACTGTTGTATTATATAATGAATTGATTATTATTGAAAATATATATCATTGAACATGTTATGTCTAGAAGTCGTCCAATTCAGACATAAATATCAATACAACAAAGAAATTTTACTGGACTAGTTATGTAAGTTAGAAAGCTAGGATAAGGTGGTGGTTGATGGCAGTCAATAAAAAGCCCTGGACATAGGTTTTGTGTTACTATGCACTTGTCAACAAGGTGTACCTGGAATCTTGAGGTAACTGATGCTCCCTGAAGAATCCGATCCCGCGTCACCCAGCTTCACAATCAGAGACGTTACTATTGAGCTATCCAGGGCTCGACTGACATCCTGTAGGACTGAGATGTATTTACAATTGATTGATCACTGGGTAGTGATCGATGTCATGTATGTGTTTGAAGTGAACGGTACTGGGTTCGATTCACAGAGTGAAGATCAACTTTGAGATGTAGGTACTATCGAGCTGACAAGTCCGAAATACGACGAAATGCGAGTTGTAGTTTCCATAGCTAGCCACTATCCATCTTTGTTTAAAAAGCTTTCGACTTCAATCAATATCAATCAAGCAATCCGCACAAGATGCTTACTTACTTACTTACTTACTTACTTACTTACTTACGCCTGTTACTCTCAATGGAACATAGGCGACCAACCAGCATTCTCCAACCCACTCTGTCCTGGGCCTTCTTTTCTAGTTCCATTCAATTCTTGTTCATTTCTCTCATGTCTATCTCCATTTCTCGGCGTAATGTGTTCTTTGGTCTTCCTCTTTTCCTTTGATCTTCAGGATTCCATGTGAGGGCTTGTCTTGTGACGCAGTTGGATGCTTTCCTCAATGTGTGTCCTATCCACTTCCAGCGCTTCTTTCTGATTTCTTCCGCCACTGGGATCTGGTTTGTTTTCTCCCACAGTACGTTGTTGCTAATAGTGTCCGGCCAATGGATCTGAAGTATTTTGCGTAGACAACTGTTAATAAACACCTGTATCTTCTGGTTGATGGCTTTCGTAGTTCTCCAGGTTTCTGCCCCATACAGTAGAATTGTTTTGACATTTGTATTGAAAATCCTGACCTTGGTGTTGGTTGGCAGATAGTTGCTTTGAGTTCCAGATGTTCTTCAGTTGTAAATATACCGCTCTTGCTTTGCCGATCCGTGCCTTCACATCTGCATCAGATCCACCGTGTTCATCAATGATGCTACCCAAATACGTAAAGGTTTTTACATCTTCCAAATCTTCTCCGTTAATTGTGATTGGATTGGTGCATTCTGTGTTGTATCGGAGAATCTTGCTTTACCCTTTGTATATATTGAGACCTATTGCACACATACTAATAAGAGATTGATCAATTACAGTCTTAAATAACAATAACAAGATACAAGTAAAACAACATTAAGTATAAATTAAAACTGATTAGATTAATTAAATTTAATTACTTTATCATTTGTTTGTTTCAACTTTGATTTAATTACTGATTTAGAATTATTATTGATTAAATTCAAATTGTTTAATGAATGGACAGTTTTCTCTGGAATATTCATTGATTTTATTGATTGATTAACATGTTGATCATTGGTATTATTCAAGTAATTCATTATCTGAAAAGATAATAGAATAGAAGAACAATCTGGAACAATTTATCGATATTTGGTTACCAATAGACTTGAATTGATGATTCAATGGTGTTTAGTTTAATTATCAAGCTAAATTGAATACGATACAAGTATATCATTCAGTTCAGTAATTACTCTTTGATAAAACTAATTCAACTATTAGTAATCCATAATTAAAACAAATACAATATGCAGAACACCAACTCAATCACAATTGATGGTGAAACTCTGGAAGATGTGAAATCTTTCATGTAACTATGAAGCATCATTGATGAACAAGGCGAGGATTGACAAAACAATGGCCGCATTCCTACAATTGAAGAACATATGGAACTCAAAACAACTGTCTATCAACCTACATTAAAGTCAGAATCTTTAATACGAACGTCAACACAGTTCTACTGTACGGAGTTGAAACTTGGAGAACTAATACAACCATCATCTCAAAGGTATAAGTATTTATAAATAGTTGTCCACGTAAGATACTAAACATCCATTGGCTGGATATCATCAGAAACAGCCTACTGTGGGAGAGAACAAACTAGATTCCAGCTAAGGAGGGAATTAGAAAAAGATGATGGAAATGGATATGATATACATTACGAAAATCACCAAACTGTATCACGTGGTAAGCCCTAACTTGAAATCCTGAAGGGAAGCGGAAAAGAGGAAGGCCAAAGAACACATTACATCGGGAAATAGAAGCAGATATGAAAAGGATGAATAACAACTGGAAAAAAGTAGAAAGGATTGTCTAGGACAGCGTTGGATGGAGAGTGATGGTGGGCAGCCTATGCTACTCCACGAGGAATAACAAGCGTAAGTAAGTATTCAAAACAAAATGAAATCCAGTTTTTCCCCATTGTTAATGTTATGATTTAAAGTTGGTCAATCTTTTTCTTAGCAAACTAAAAGCATTTTCCTTTTTGAAATTAAGATATGAATTGTAGCGTAATTGGACTGTAGCTAGTTTCGCTCTATTTAATGTCTATCAGTTGAGTGTTGTTCACATCGAAACAAGAGGCCAGTATGCATTATATACTGACAAATTACAAACCTTGGTTTATACCTTCATACCAGATGAATAATTCAATAAATATTTGCGCTTAGTAGCTCAGCGGATAGTGTTTGGTGTAAGAAAAGAAAATTAATAATTTTAAGTCCTAATGTGAACAATACTAATGGAATACAAGTATATCCAGGTGGTCAGTCTCAGGATAAACTGAGCATACTGTATCTCATTGTGACACACAAACCAACTATACTATATAACTCCAATTTAAATGTATACACTCTATTATCAGAGCGGGTTTGTGGAGATTTTACAAATTCCACAGATTGAAATCATGAGTCAATTGGAGCTAGACTACCATGGAAAACCTGGAAGCACTGGATGGACGTCTCGTCCTACTGTGGGACTCCTCAGCAGGGCGCACCCACGAACCCGCACCCCGCGAGATCCGAACCCGGGACCTACCAGTTTCGCGCCAAGCGCTTAACCAACTAGACCACTGAGCCGGCATCCAATGGTGTTAATGTCTAACTTCAACCAATCCACGAAGTTGCGCTACCGTATACCATTCTCTTCAGTGAGTTGATACCTCACAATAGACCTGGTTGAACTCCAGTGCTTCCAGGTTTTCCATGGTGGTCTAGCTTCAATTGACTCATGATTTCAATCTGTGGTATACACTCTATATTTTATAATTTGAAACAATTTTTGTACATTTAACTTCTTCAAGTCCCACGAATGATGATGTTACTGTTGAGCCTTCAAAATGACATAAATAATTACATATCATGAGAAGGAATATGATCAAGGAATAGATACAAAGAAAAACTAATCCATTAATTAGCGCCAACACGAAACTAAGGTTCAGAGTTTCTTGATAATACCTGTAACTACTTAACATCTGAAAATAATGCACACTATCTCGAATCACTTGGACTAGTAGTTACATTTTAGTTTAATAGATAGTGTTTGGTTAACCAATAGAAGGGACCAGAATAACATAACAGGAATAGATCTTTAGTGTGGTGGGGGGTTGATGGGTGCGAACCAGTGAGGGGTCTTAACCTGGGACGAAACAGCCACACTGTGCTTTCATGTTTTTAGTGATTTTTTAAATTAAGATAATTCCATCCTGTTAAATATCTGAATAAGTGAAATTTAGTGTATAAAAGTCACACGATGACCATCCTATCAAACAAATTAAATTCCGAAAAAACAATGGCAAAACTGATTAGCAAGTTTGTTAGTTTTGTGCTTCAGAAATAATTTTATAGCGTTTTCCTAATTCAATCTAATACAAACCATCATAAAGCAACAAGATTGTGGTCAGTGACTGAGCCCATGCTACACATGATTCCAAGCAAGCTACCAGAAACTTCTAGATTAGCTCCAACACAAATGAAAGGTAAAAGAAAACTAAGATAATCAGGAAAATAATATGGAACTCACCAAGCTGGATAATAAAACAATACTACGAGGGTAGGTTTATGGTGAGAATAATCTGTTTTTGAATGCATAAATGATATGTCTTGTCATTTAATGCTACTTTTTGTATCTGGTCGTCGTCGTGTTTTGGGGGTCAAAAAATCATTACTTATACCAGTTTTTGTTTTCTTACTTTCGCGTCGTGGGGATTGCAGAGATCTCTCATTTCGAGTATGAGTGATAAGAGTTCCCAACATAACAATCAGCGGCGATCAGAGATAACAAGTGACATTCAACCAACAAGACATATCGCTGAAGGACAAACCAGTACCCTGATTATCTTAGTTGTTGTCTAGATCAATATAAAAAGGGCTTGATATGAGGTCTATTTAATAGGATTGAATGTATTTGTAAAAACGAAGCTATTAACGAAGAAGTGAAGTTGTTGAATAAAACATTACTGGGAAATGGTTATCTTCTAAAATTCATAAATCGATGGAAAAGCGACAATATGGTGAGACCTAATACATTTTTGGCATAGAAAAGGCCTTTCCACATTACCCTACCGCTAAGAGGTGAGTCAAGTAGCCTTTTATTGAAACAAAGGCTTAAATCGGTTACTAGCCAAACATACTACGCATGGGAAAAACAAGGCCCACGTTTCGCCAAAAACCTAGAAGGTACGAAAACGATTGCGTCACAACCCAATGTTAACCAATTTAAATGTGTGCGTGATTTGAAAATTAGGGTGTCTAAACGTGTATCTAAATGGTGGCAGCAAACTGAGACCTAGGACCTACCCACAGCGCTGCTGGGTAATAGGGGCATATATGGAGGAGATCGGACTAATCGACGATTCCGTTGTAAACCGAATTTCCTTTTCAAGGCTCCCTGATATGTATGCTTATGTCCATGAATTGCATGAGTTTTGGCATGTGCGGTTTATCTATGTAGGTACATGTAAGGGGTACGCGCGTGAGTTGACACAAAGAACATAAGCTCAAAAATTTCTGCCCTATGTTTAATAAAATCAGTGGCTCAACCCTTTAATTAGAAGACATAATAAAAAAAATATGGTAGTAAATACTAGGGCGAGGTGACCATCAATATCTACAAAAAGAGTGGTCATGCTTATGTATGTCATGCAGTATCAGTGATATGAATGCAACATGTGAGTCAGCTGTAGCAAATGAGTTCAAAGTGAACAGTGACCATCTGCTCTCCCAGGTGAGTGAATGTGTTGTGTCTTAGCTTCGTTAATCAGTCACATTGATAACTGTTATTACATAAACCCCAACGGTGTTGCACATCAAAAGGCAATAAAACGCGGCGACTACAGTTTATTAGCGGATAGTACAGATAACAAAGTTATAGACACATAGAACGAATTAGTAGAAGAGAGGAGAATGTGTGTATGAGAGCGAATACCGAGGGGAATTTATAATCAAATCAAATGTAGGCGCAGCTAAGCGAGGCAAAGTCTAATAATAAGATTCGAGAATGACCCATCAAGTGATATTTAGGCGATTAACATTTTATCTAGAGAGAGATATTTGCGTAGGCTATCACATGTGTTCAAGAGTACACATATACGGACAAGATAGTGATCATAATAGTACAAAAAAATAGACAAGTCGCTACTGCTAGAACAACATTGTTAAGTTAATAAAAAGGCTTAACAAAAGTTAACCATAATCGAAATTGATTGTAAGAGAGTTGCTATAAATATACCTATATTTATGCTGTGGGAAGCATGAGTGAAAACTAGTGTTACTGGTGTGCATATTACGGACCTCTGCTCACAGGGTAAGATATATATATATATATATATGCCAGGAGACGCATAGTTGAAAACTTGTGTATTGCCGGCATGTATGTAGATCATACTTGCCCTTGGTGAGACCCACGCACACCAAGTGATGGGATTAACGAAGTCCCCATAAAGTCTCATCCACACTGTGGGTTTATGAGCCTTCAAAAACGGAAACCACTCCCCCAAAAAAACCAATCAGTTTCACCAGATAAGGCATTACCAACCTTAGCACAGCTAAAACACCGCACCTAAATGGTTACAAAACAAATACAATCAAATGAACCAATTGAAACAGGTTATAAGATCGATCTTAATTCAACTTTTGCGGTGTTTTACAAGTATTCGATAGCATACACTAAAGTTTACTGAAACATTGATCATACAAAAATGTAAACTCCTCATATGTATTCACCGTAAAATTGCCCTGGTAATTTTGTTTTATTGTCCAGCGTAATGAGTTCCATATTGTTTCCTTTATTATCTTTGTTTTCCGTTACCTTTTATTTATCTAGTTGACCTTTATGTCACATATTTCTGATAATCTTCGTCGTCTTCTTCTTCTTCTTATAATACTATGCAAAATTCTAAAAGTTTAAGAATTAATTAAGTAGATTGATTTCAAAAAAAGTCTCAAACTGATACTCAAAGTGTACAAACAACGGAATTTTATCAGAATGTTTATTTAGAGAAAAAAAAACTATTATTTCTTCTGTATACTTTAGATTGTTCACA